CCCCCCACACCTGCAGCCAGCACCCCCCACACCTGCAGCCAGCACCCCCCACACCTGCAGCCAGCACTCCCCACACCTGCAGCCAGCATCCCTCACACCTGCGGCCAGCTGCTTCATTGTCCCCCTGAGCAATCCAGTCCTGTCGCATGCTATCTCCTTCAGCCTTAACAAAGTCCAGATGGCTGAGCTACAGCAGCCGATGGGACACACTGCCTTGGAAAGGAGGCCGTCACTCCTCTCTGCACAAACACACCTGAGTGTGTCCTCAATGCCTGGCATGGAAAGGGAGCCATTTCTCAGTTTTACTGAGATATTATTGACATATAACATATTAGTTTCAGGTGTGCAACATAATGACTTGCTATGTGTGTATATAAATTCAAAATGACCCCCATATACTTACATCTCTTGTTTGCAGGATTCTTAAGCCTATTTAATTCATCTCTGTGAGCAGGACTATAGTAACCCCTCCCCCCGCCCTTCACAATAAGTCATCGTATATCTCCACTCAGTATTTCCAACTTGGAAAGTCTTCAGAACAGCAAATTTCATTCTGCTCTTAAAAAGCAGAGCCTCTGAAAAATGTAACATGCTTTGAAAACATTATTAAGTGTTGATATGTTAGGTGTAAAATAACTAAATATAACTATTTCAAGCTAAATTAACTATTAAGACTAGATTCCAATAGAAGAAATAGATATTAACTTTAAAAGCTCTGACAGAAAAACTTCACATAGAGATAATTCTGTTACATGATGCTTTCGCTTCTTTGTGTTGGGTTTTTAAACTCGATGGTGATGACGTCATCAAATGTCAGGCAGGAAGCCTGAACTGAGCTCCCTGGTTCCCAAGCAGGGCTACGTTTGCCTCCAGGGACATTTGCAGGATCTGCAGAGAGTCTGTGGCAGTGAGNTACGTTTGCCTCCAGGGACATTTGCAGGATCTGCAGAGAGTCTGTGGCAGCGATGGAGAAAGGCGGGGGAGCAGGAGGGTTCTGGCATCAGAGGGCAGAGGCCAGGGGTGCAGGTAAACACCTTACAGTGCACAGAACAGCCCCAGGCGAGGAACTAAGGACTCAAGTGTCAGTGGTGCTGAGGTGCGAGTTCCTGCATTCAGTCCAGGTAGCATCAGGACGCAGCCCTGGTTCCAGACAAGAAACAGTCTTCCTTCTCAGCCATTCAAGGTTTAGCAAGTTTAGGCTTGTTCATGTGATAAATCTTAACAGAAGGAAAAAAGAAAGGAAGGGAGGGAGGGAGGGAAGACAAAGCGACTCACTTCAGGAGCCTCTGGTGAGCGAAGGGACCTTCACTTGAGATGGGCTTCCCAGGTCGACAAAGAGTGAAGAGGAACGCTTGCTACTGGCTGGGATTCTCCAGAGTTTGATTTTTTAAACCCCCATTGGCTGCACACCTGGAAAGACTAAGTCATAATCCTTGGGGAACTTCAAATAATAATGAACTATTAAAAATTAAAAATAAAAAGTGCCCAGCTGGAGCAATGACGACCAAAGCTTTTATTTTCCATTCTTCACATTTATTCTGACCAGACATCACATGAATCAGACCTAAAAAAGGTGGGGCATAGTTGTTGTTTTAAAATATATCTTTATTGATTTCAGAGAGAGGAAGGGAGAGAGAGAAACATCAATGATGAGAGAGTCATTGGCCAGCTGCCTCCTGCATGCTCCCCTTGCTGGGGATCGAGTCCGCAACCCGGGCATGTGCCCTGCCCGGGAATCGAACTGGCAACCTTTTGGTGCTCAGGACAACGCCCAACCAACTGAGCCACACCAGCCAGGGCTAGTGAGGCCTTTTTCATCATGTAGAAAATAGAATTCTTTACAGTTCTTCTGCCACCTGAACCCTCCACCAGCATAGTGTTCTTAATTTCCTACAAACAGCAATAGAGCAAATGGTTTATTTCGCAGACTAGTATCAAAACATTCCCTAAACTAGCTTCCAGCTATTGACAGGCATCCAGCTGGTAAAACTAGAATTTGCAAGTCAGCTGCATTCAAGATGTGATATTTGTTCCTCTNATAGAGCAAATGGTTTATTTCGCAGACTAGTATCAAAACATTCCCTAAACTAGCTTCCAGCTATTGACAGGCATCCAGCTGGTAAAACTAGAATTTGCAAGTCAGCTGCATTCAAGATGTGATATTTGTTCCTTTGANTTCAAGATGTGATATTTGTTCCTCTAGTGTGGAAAGCAAGAGCCGCCCCTGCGAGGAGTCGACCCGCTGGGCCTGGGCCTGTGCGGCCCTTCTCACGGCCGCTCTGCCTCTGCCCCGCACAGGTCTGAGGAGCACCAGGTACCAGCTGCTTCACCGCTCGCCCGGCCGGCTCGCCATCCGCGTGGCCCGCGTGACGGCCCAGGACGAAGGCGTGTACAAGTGCCTGCACTACGGGCGCGCCGTGAGCACACAGCGGGTGCGCGTGGTCGTCCTGGGTGAGTGGCTCCCAGCCGGGGCACCCGGAGGCGGGCAGCCCGCGCAGGCACCTTACGGATCATTTCGGTTTTAAAACGTTGCCTCCAGCGAGCTATCACCTGGGCCCCTCGGCCACCTTTTGTGGAAAGGAAACAGAAAGGAGCATTTTGAGTGGCAAGCCCTAGATTAAAGTGCGAATTCATGAAATCCATCTTTGGCAGCAATTAACTTTTCTCTCGGGGGAACGAGAAAAAGAGCATTAATATTTGACGACCTGAGACTCTGTGTCAGGCACTGCACTAGGCTCGGGAATCAGGCGACCTAGGCACAGCCTCTGCCCACAGGGGTCCGCTCGCTAGTTGAGAAAGGCAGCACGTGTGTGTAATGAAGTAGGACATTATGGCAGCGTGACTCGGACGTAGCTGCCCTGGAAAATCAGCTCGCATCCTCTGCCAAAGCTTCCTCTCTCGGTTGGGGGTGGGCTGGGGGTGGGGACACGAGTAGGTGGCAGCCCCCCGCTCGGCTGGGACTTGCTCGGTTCTCTAGATGGGCACTTTTGTTCAGCTCAAGTCTTACGATCTTTACGGTTTTGCTTTCTGTGGCAGAACAGCTCAGTTAAAAACTTAATTCCACATATCATACAAATGAATTTCTTAAACTTCCCTTATTGAGGAACCACAGTGTGGTGCCCTCCATAAAGGAATGGCACAGTGAGAGTGTCAGGAAAGGCGTGGCTCCTGGGGTCTCAAGGACCAATGTGACAGCTCAGGTCTGTCTCTCCCTCACCTTGCGGCCACCCCGCACTCGGCTCAGGCTGCTGTGTGCCCTCGGCAGCCCCACGCCCATGCCCACCTCCATCACGTCGTCTTCTAACGAAGGGTCTAGGGGCCGAGTCCCAGCAGCCGCTGTTCCTTACCGGCCTCGTCTCCCCCATATCGGAGCTGCCAGCACCTAACACATCTGGGGGTACTTGGAGCTGGCTTCGCGCCGTCTGGGTGGCAGCGGGGATTCAATGTGAAGGGGCAGGTCAGGGCCAACGTGCGAAGCAGAACGGGAAGAGCGAGAGGCCTGACTAAAGCGTGTTCCCAAGACAGGAGTGGGAGGGAAAGGGACCAGCGAACCCTTCATAAGACGCGCGTGTCCTTGACGCTGGGAGAGGACAGAAGCAACTTACCTTGAAGTGAGTCTCAGGCCCAGGAAGTTTAGAGCTGAAACCGTCAGCTCATAAACCAGTCTCTGCCCGTCACAGGCAAGGAAACTGATAAACCAAGGACCTGGGGGCCTAACTCGGGCTCTTACAAGTTGGTGGCAAACGTGGAGCTCGAATTCCGGCNAACTGGGGGCCTAACTCGGGCTCTTACAAGTTGGTGGCAAACGTGGAGCTAGAATTCCGGTNCAAACGTGGAGCTCGAATTCCGGCCTCCATTCCTGACCTAGTGCTCAGCCAATCACATAACAGTCATATATCAAATGTAAAAATTGTTTTTGAAACATAGTCAGTTTGGAAATTTTTAGGGCCTGATCACGCTCTGGGTGACAAACATTCTGACTACAGCCAAAGTAGCTTTCCAGGTACATAAAAGCCCTTTAACTATATTCTGGAAAAGGTCAGGTAAAAAAATTTGCCCATGATTTAGACCATAACCCACACTGATCCCTGTAGATTATTAGGCTCTGTGCTTTGCTGAGATATGTAGGCCAGCTAATTAAGCACAGAAGAATCTGTTTTTTTCCTAGCAACTCCTTTCAAGTCAACCCTGGAAGCTTCAGTCATCAGAATGCCAAATAGAGAAGAACAAGTTATACTTAAATGCTCCACCGTGAGAAGCAAGCCCCCTCCCCAGATCACTTGGCTGTTAGGGAACCACACGGAGCTCCATGGTAAGTGGAGAAACAGCTCTCTTTCCTCCTTTGTTTTCCTTCCTAAAGTTCCAAGGGATTTTTTTTTTTTTTTTTT